TAGGTATCCATACGGCAAACAGTAAAAGTTGTTTGAAAAATGACATGAAAGTAATTACATTTCAAAATCCATTTATATCACATGTACACAATTAAAACATGACCATTTGTTAATGAATAAACATTTTTTTTGGGGGGGGGGGGAAATATATAAAAATCACATATTCGGGTTGTCTCAACAAAACTTGCCCTGGGTGCAACATTGTATCCAGGTTTCATGTGATATGGAATGCATATAACGCATAAGTATATGGACTAAACACTAAAATCTTTCAGTATTTTTTTCCTGATACATATAGAAAGAGTAGTCAATATTTAGATCATGTTTAAAAACTAATGCATACCTCCGGGTTTCGTCACGAAATACCAGGTATATTTGCACTGTTAAGGTCACTGATAGAAAAAGTGTTAAACACTTATCGGGGCTAAAACTTTGTACAGTAATGGATGCAGAATTTTTATATGATTGTTAAACAAGATTTTCTTTGTTTGAAAATGTCCCAGTGGGTTTTTTAAATCTTTGAAAATTATTAATATACAGTAAATTATATAAGTTAATATATTTTTGAAGCAAAAGCAATAAGGTATTTGATTTTTTAATGTGTATTTGTAGATTCATATAACAAAGTGATCCCGTCTGAAAGACGCGCGGGAACGTGATTTATTAGAAAGGGGGAAGTGAAATTTTCCCTATTAAATCAAAACTAATCGTACAAAAATTATGCAAAAAATTATGAAGATTATTTTTTATACCAGCTACCTAAAGAAAGTATATATTTACCAAAATTAAAGTTAATGGTTTTTTCACAAAAAAATTCTGAATTTGAAAAAAACACAATTTTCAAGGCTTAGAAAATTCATAGTTTTTCAGTTTAAGGTCCTTAAAAATTGTTTTGATGAAATGTATATAAAAAAAATGACTATGTTTTAGTGTTAAAAAAGGCATAACACAATGAAATTTGACATTCACACAACCTGGTTTTTTTGAAAATCAAGGTTTAACAAGTTCATTGATTAAAAATTTTCTCTCCATGTAAAAAAGTAAGTGGAATAATGGAAGTTCCTGTCCAAAAACCACTCGAACGATTTTGTCCAAAATATGCATACATGCAGAAGATATAGTCATGTACTAAATATACAAAAATAATGAAAATTAAACGACAGGAATTTTTGGGGGTAGGTGTGTTGTACAACCTTAAAAACAAAAATGAAGATATATTGAAAGAGTTTTGAAAAATTGATTTTTCTTTTAAAATGTCTGTATTTTGTCCAACATTACAAAATATATATATCACTGGCCCCAACTAGTACACGATGAAATAAACAAAGGTTCTTTCCCCTTTGTAATCCTTATGTGTCCAGTGGCATGGAGCCTGTTAGGAGAGCATAAAAAAAGAAGAAAAATTGATGTACAAAAGTCGATAACATCCAAAAACAATAATTTTATTTTTTTTTTATTTCCTCCTCCTACGGGACTTTTTCATTCTGATGTTCATAAACCTGAAAATAAAAAAATGCTGGCCTTACGCCATTGGTGTTTTGTTCTCTTCTCAGACCAATCTTGTTTTTGTTGTGACTTCCATGATGACAGAAGACTTGTTTGGATTGCAAATGGGGAAAGATATGCTGATTGTTTCATTTCTGGGCAATACAGAGTAAATGGAGGTTTGGTGATGATTTAGGCAAGCACGCGGGTTATGCATTTTTTCTGCAACAGCTGCTTCATTCATTCCCGTACTAACGACCAAAGAAAGCATTTTATTGTTTAAGTTATATGTATTGCATGTACTCTGTGGAAGAATTTAATATTATAATAATGGCATATAAATATGGACAATAATGCTCGACCTCATAGAGTCCGAATCATAAATGATTACATGGAAAGTGAAACAAATAAGCGTATGGACCTGCCAAGTCATTTTCTGAAGTTAACTGAACATTCATGGAACAGTTTTTAACAACGCATTTGACAGTTTGTCTTACACTTCCCCAAATTGAAGAGAGCTTCAGACTGCATTGCAGGAGGAATGGGAACAGATCCCTCAGGCTAGCCTTGGACGGCTGATGGGCAGCATGGGTCTGCGCTGCAAGGCCTCGCAGGGAGGTCATACAAATACTGGCAATCATTTTAGTGACGTAATTTGACTCTTCTGAAAAAAATCTAATTTTCAGGTCTACCCCCAACATGCCGAATTCTAAAGTGACCGTAATGAACAATTCGTAGCGAGTGTTCAAACAAATTTATCACATCCAATGTTTAATTTTCACTTTTAAAATATAAAGTATGATACTAAAATTAAAATTACATTCTGTTTTCTATGATACAGTACTGTACAGCAGGAAATTAACTCGCGGAGTTAATTTTCGCTAAATTCGCGGAAAAAGAAATTCCGCGAATTCAACATACAGTGAATAATTCTTAAAAAGTTTTATAAAGATAAATTGAAATTTTATTATTTTCTGTGATTAGATGTAGGCTGTCTTTATAATTATGCGAGAGTCTGGATCAATTATAAACACGTAGTTGTTGCTGTTTTAAACGCTTATTAATTGTTTAATTCATTTCTATAGCTTACATTAATTTTGCCATCTAGTAGAAGTGCGATGTAATTATTTATTAAAACAAGTTTGTTTAATATCACCCGTGCGTATCACTCAGTCATTACCTCTAATCAAGGGATTTACTTACCGTAGTAAAGAGGGTAACGACAATTAATTAATTTCAATGATATGATTAAAAGTTCAACATTTTTACTACGGTATAATTTTTTTTCTGATTTGGACCCGGAAATAAACAAAAAGTAAAATGCGAAGCATTATTTTGACCACAAATCGGGATCAGTCCGGTGTTTCGTTATTATTCAATCGGGATCAAAATCGACACAATAAATAGACTTTACTTTTCTGTCTGATATGCGCTACATACAGCTCATATATATGATAGACTTTCGTAATATTCTATAGAGACGGGAAATAACATTTCGAAGAATATATACCAACAGAAAAATGCTTGCAAGTACTGTGTAAGAAATTTATGGTCTGTCCTTTTCCGCGAATTCAAACGACCGCGATTTGCTGAAAATTGAACAAATTGCGATCTTTTCCGACCGCGATTTTAACCTGCTAATCAGTATTTGTAAATTATATTTAATTTGATGATCCTTAACTTTCTTGTTATTTGATGCAGAAATGATGAAATGTATGAATATTATCCAACTCAATATATATAAATTAGTATGTAAATTTCATTGAATTGTCTTCATATTTATTATGTTTATATTAACACCTTTAACAAAAGGGGAAGGGGGAGGGAAAGGGATGTAAATTTTCCTTTAATTTAATGATCTTTTAAAACTGAATATCTCAATATTGAATGTCTTTGATTGAAACAATTATTTTTAAAAAAAGGAAGTACTTTGACATCATTTTTAAAACACATCTTGTATCAACTAAGGAAATTAGTATGCCAGAGCTACCAAATAAGAGTTTTGAATGCATTTTCATTTTGAACAGCAATAACTATAGGGTTCATCATTAAATATAAAACAAACGAGACTAGTAGGCCTAACAAACAACTTTACTTACTAAAGACCTGACCTCATCTTCACTAGAAGTGACCTCATCTTCACTAGACCTGACCTCATCTTCACTAGACTTGACCTCATCTTCACTAGACTTGACCTCATCTTCACTAGACCTGACCTCATCTACACTAGACTTGACCTCATCTTCACTAGACCTGACCTCATCTTCACTAGACCTGACCTCTTCTTCACTAGACTTGACCTCAACTTCACTAGACCTGACCTCATCTTCACTAGATTTAACTTTGTCTGTGCTAGACCTAAACTCATCTTCAATAGACAAGACCTCATCATTATTATCATTATTAGACCTGACCTCATTTTTCACTAGACCTGACCTCATCTTCACTAGTCCTGACCTCATCTTAAGTAGACCTGACCTCATCTTTTCTAGAGCTAATCACTAGACCTAAGTTCATCTTCCTTAGACAAGATCTCATCTTCAGTAGTTCATACGTCATCATTACTAGTTCTGACCTCATCTTCAGTGGTCCTGATCCAATCTTAAATGATCCTGGCCTCATCATTACTAGACATGACCTAATCTTCATTAGAATGGATCTCATCTTCACTACACCTGACCTCATCCAATAAACCTGACCTCACTTTCACCAGAACTTCATTATCACTAGACCTGACCTCATCTTCACTAGACCTGACCTTATGTTTACTAGACCTGACCTTATCTTCACTAGACCTGACCTCATCTTATCTTCACTAGACCTGACCTTATCTTCACTAGACCTGACCTCATCTTCACTTGACTTGACCTCATCTTCACTAGACCTGACCACATCTTCACTAGACCTGACCTTATCTTCACTAGACCTGACCTCATCTTATCTTCACTAGACCTGACCTTATCTTCACTAGACCTGACCTCATCTTCACTTGACTTGACCTCATCTTCACTAGACCTGACCACATCTTCACTAGACCTGACCTTATCTTCACTAGACCTGACCTTATCTTCACTAGACCTGACCTCATCTTCACTTGACTTGTCCTCATCTTCACTTGTCCTGACCTCATCTTTACTAGAACCTCATCTTCACTAGTCTTTACCTCATCTTACATGTAACTAGAACTGACCTCAAGAAAACTTGGCCTCAACTCATCTTCACTAGAACTGTCTTTATCATTGTCATTTGACCTGACATCAAGCTCACTAGCCTGACCCAATATCCACGAATTATTGAAAGTATTTTAAAATCATTATTGCTAGAATAGAACGGGCAAGTCTATCCAAATTTTCTTAGTCAGAGAGCTAATGTTCTGCATCTTCCATGAAGCAAATTAAACTAGATGGGTTAAAATTTTTACTTATTTTATGCTCTGTTGTCAAAAATAAGGATTTGTTCTGAAATATAAAGAATTAAATCGGTCTTTATTATTTCTGTTTCTATTTGTTTTGTAGAGTTTCTGAAAAAGGAGAAAACAACTGTTTTTCATGCCCGAGGAATACTTGTTGGATGTGGTGAGGCTGGGAAAACAACATTACTGAAGCGATTAAGAGAGCAATGCCAGAATCGTGGTGAAGTGAAAAAGTCGATGAAGGGACTAACAACACTGTTGAAGCGATTAAGAGGGAAACGACAAAATGTTGATGAAGTTACAGAGTCCACCAGGGGACTGGAAGTCCACCAACATCTATTCATTGTTAGAAATGGAATTTTAGAAGGTTAAAAACAATTTCTGTACATTTTCTCTTTAGGAAAGATGCTTGTTTGGAACATAAAGCTCTTTTGTGAATCACAAACATTATTGCCATTCCAAGTATTAAAAAAAAATCAAAAATGTCATAAATCTGTCGAAATTCAATGAATCAAATGCAAAATTGACAAAATATTTATCGGGACAGGAAATACCGGTATTGACCAGTGGTAATTCCCACCACTGGTATTTCCCATACAAACCCTATAAAGAAAGGTGCCTCTTTGAAAATTATGAATTTTATGGCCCCTGGGTCAGGAGTTGGGATTTTAGGGTGGTGCTATTTTGATTATAAAGCGAAACTGCATTATTTCTTTGAAAATCTCCTCTGCTCCTTGGTATTGAGCAGATGAACTACATAGTACATAGTGATAATTAACAAGGATCCTTCTTCTTGTGAATTTCAAGGCTCCTGGGTCAGGGATAAAGTAGAAGAGAGAGGGGGGGGGGGCTCTAATGAAATGAATTAATGCATTGAAATCTGCTTCTTAAACTAAAATTACTCCATCAATAATCTGTTAAGATATATGAAAAAAAAATTAATTATAAACTATAAAAAGGATGTTGGATTTTGTATTTCTTTTTTATACTACCCACAAACAAAGTTGGGGGGGTATATAGGAATCATCACCTTGTCCGTCTGTCTAGCTGTCTATCTGTCCGTCTGTCTGTGCAATCATGTCCGGTCCATATCTTTCTTACAGAGGGACATTAGAATCTACTACTCCACACAAAGATTGCTTATGACCTAAGGGTGTGTCATGACCTTGACCCAAGGTCATTTGGGGAACTTCAAGGTCACTGGAAGAAAAATTTCATAATTCGTGTTCGGTCCATATCTTTCTTATGGATAAACTTGGTAGGTTTTCATTTCAAACAAAGATTGCCCATGACCCAAAGGTGTGTCATGACCTTGACCCAAGGTCATTTGGGGAACTTCAAGGTCACTGGAAGAAAAATTTCATAATTCGTGTCCGGTCCATATCTTTCTTATGGATAAACTTGGTAGGTTTTCCTTTACACAAAGATTTCCCATGACCCAAGGGTGTGTCATGACCTTGACCCAAGGTCATTTGGGGAAATTCAAGGTCACTGGAAGAAAAATTTCATAATTTGTGTTTTATACATATCTTTATTAAGGAAAAACTTACTTCTGAAAAACCCAGCGGGGGGTATTTTGTCCCGTTTGGACAGTTCTAGTTTGCACTGAATACCCTATTCGAAAAAAATATGATACATTCAGTAAAACTTATCTTCTTAATCATAAGTTTTGATAAAAAAGAAATATATCCACTAAATGATGTGCTTTAAAAAGAAATCTTTAATTTTTTTTATAGTGGCAGATGATGACTCACCATTGAAGACATTTATCAGGATAAACACTGCAGATTTGATACCAGACCCATCTAGTGCATTTGACATCTCCGATACAAATGAGCAAGAAGACAATTTGGAACTAGGAAGTACTGATAAAAGCACTGAAGTAATTTACAGCAGAGAAAAAGGGAAAGAAAGGAATGTTGAGAGGTCGAGTTCTCCAATTGAAGGCAAAGACGAACAGAAAGAAGACAGTATTGAAATGTCCAGGTCACTAACGGAAGGCAAAGAAGAAGTGAATACAGTAGAAATAATGGCCAGTGTTCCAGGGGCACAAGCAATGGTTAAGGATGAATTTTTTGAAAAAATCTTGTCTGAGAAAGAAAAGCTTCCAACAGTAAGCATGCTGGACTTTGCTGGCCAGTTAGCATATTATGCTTGCCACCAAATTTACGTAACACCAAAAGCCTTCTTCATCCTTGTGTTGGACATGACTAAGAGGTTTGAAGATGTTGTTGATAAAGAGAGGGATAATCAGGAAGGATCAATCTTCTCTGTGTGGACTTACAAAGGTAGGTCATGATGATGTGATATTTAGACTTACAAAGGTATGTCATGATGATGTGATATTAAGATTTACAGTGGTAGGACATGATGATTTGATATTAAGGACATTGGCAAGTCACGGTTTTCTGGAGAAAAAGGGTTTATATCATGGGATTTTTCTCTTATAAAACTGAGATTGAGAGTGATCTCCCATGTAGAATTCTTTTACAAAGGTAAACAACAGCACATTTGCTTCCTTCAACAGCTGTTCAACGGGTAGAATCATCTCTACAGCAAGAAAGAAAAGCGGTGATGACTTTGTTGTACATTGTGTTCAGGGACATGCAGTTAACAGTGGTCAGCAGGCTGTTATTTAATTTACCGTAGTTATACTGGACAAAGATGTGACAATTGCTAGCCGATAACAGCTCCTATAACTAAACTGTATAAGGTCGTGCTAAGGAAACACCATTTAGTAACTGAAAATTAATATTAAAAACAAACCCATGCCAATGTTTTATGACAATTTGTTTCCAATAAGATAAATTACATAACAGACACAGTTTACCAGTTTTTACCATAATTATGATTTATAAATATGAATTAGATGTTAAGGGAAGTAACTCTAAAATAAAGAACAGTGTTGGTAGATCTGTGTCATGGTTCTAAATTTACATTTTCAGTCATGATATCTAGATATCATTGGAAATGAGGAGACAATAATGTATATAATACATAAACATTCTGAAATAAATGGGTTTTGGAAAAATTTTATGGTAAAAAATCATGTAGGTCATTTTTATTAACATTTTACATAGGAAATGCATTGAGAAGATCTGACAAAATCTTAAAAGGGAGGGTGGCTTGCTGGGTTAAATGTACCAGAATATAACATGTTTAATACCTTTACACCTGCTCAAGAGTTCTTGAAAAACTCTATACTAAAGCCAGGAACCTTGCCAATGTCCTTAAGACTTACAGAGGACTTGCATGATGTTTTGATTTCAATTTTATGTCTTTGTGGCTGGCATGTATGAAGATAAGAAAAATGATTTTGTAACAGAATTTCTAACCTGCAATATAAAGTATTCATTGTAAGAGGTTGGCTCTTAAACATTTGTCATATCACTTTGCATGTATATGCCTGATTGTATATCCATAATGACATAATAACTCAGGCAGAGATCTTTGCTCTCTTTCAAGGGGAGACAAGAAACATATGGAGATAATGAACAGTATTCAATACCAAAGTACATAAAACAATACAAAATAGGAGTAGAGCAAACACAGACCTCCAAAACATCAGATGTGGGATCAGGTGCCATGAAGGAGTGAGCATCCCCTGCCGACTGGTCACACCCGCTGTGTGCTCCTTGTCATGATCAGGATATAACGGAAGAAATCCGTCGTCAATTCAATGTATAAACTATGGACTAATAATTAGTATGAAAAACGTCAGTCAGCATTTGTCTCAATGATAAATTGTATTTGCTGACAAGGTCATTGTATCGACCATAGAATTTATGAAATGATGACTTAGAATGAATGAGATTTTAAAACCACACGACCAAATAGGTAAAACAAAATGTATTAAACCTGAGGAACAGCAGAGCCTTATTGACTCTGAGTTAATCATGAAAGGAGCTTTTATGTTTGTCAATGTAAAGTGGAGGTTCGTTTTTCCATTCTTCTTTCTGACAAATATTTCAGTATGCTATTAACAAAACAGTTTTCAGCCTTACGCTTTCAAATCTATTTGCTAAAGTAGCGTACAAAAATTGTATCAATATTACTTATAAATTTGAAATGTAGTTTTATTTTTATGCCCCGCCATGAATATGCCTGGAGCATATAGTGTTTGCCATGTCCGTCTTCCGTCCTTCCGTCTAGCTGTTATTCCGTCACACTTTGCGTTTAGCTCAGTTCTAAGCTCAGTTTAAAAAAAAAAAACTAGTGTTAATTGTAACGGGGACCGTTACAGATGTTCCCCAAACGCTCCCCAAATCTCTTTTTGTGCCTATTTCCTGTAACACATTTTTTTTATTTGCTCAGTGTTGAAGGATTTAATTTAAGAATATATATAAAAGATACAATGATATCAACTATATATCATTCAACTTTAACCTTTTGCATGCACGCGCACGCGCATGCATATGCAAGATGATCATGGCATGTGTCTGAAGAATTCCTGAGAATCAAAAGAAAATACTAGTAATACAGATATAAATGTTACTTTTTTTCAAGTATTTTAGTCATTTTATGCATTGCGCATGCGCACGTGCTAACATGTCCATGCATTCAATTTTGATAGTAGCATAATGTAGGAATCTATTACACCTATTCATATTCTAAATTTCATCCTGATTTATTGAGAATTAAGAAAGTTATAGACATTTAAAGTTTAAGCCAATCAGATTGCAGCACACGTGCATGCACGTGCATTCATGATAATTCTTATATATCATATTGTAGAACCTTCTAATGTATGACTATATTGCAAATTTCAAAGTATTTCGTCAAAAAACAAGAATTCAAAGATATTGAGACTTAAGTTTCAGCTAATCAGAGCGAAGCGCACATGCATGCACGTGAGTTCATGATAATATGACCATGTCGTGTTGTCTATAATACTATTATATACGTATATTATTATTTTCAAAACATTCCATCAAAAGATAGAAAAGTTACAGCTACATCTGTTATATTGGTCATTTCACATGTTGCACATGCGTGCTCTTGCAAGCACGTGCACGCAAAATGACCTTGATTCCGCAAATCTACATAACATGTCTACTTACCCTAAAAAGGTTTTACCTTCATCGGATGAACAGTTTACAAGATCATTCGCGGATAAATAAGTACCCAGGAAGAAGAAAAATAATAAGAAACAGAGTAAAAACAATATGTTCCCCAACTTCGTTTGGGGAACATAACTAAGATATTTTCATCAAAGTTCATATGCTGATAGATATTAATGAAAGCTATGTAACTACATCAACATTTTTTGACTTTGACCTTGACCTCAGTTTTCTTTAATAAGAGTTTATCTCAGTTTTAAACATACTATCATGATGGTGTTATAAAACTTAACATGTTGAATCATACTGATGAGAGCTATCTAACTGCATCACCATTTTTAGCTCACCTCAACGAAGTTGGGGGAGCGTATGTAATACCCTCTGTGTTGGTGTCGGCATCGGTGTCGGCGTCCCAGTTTAAGTTTTTTGGAGCAGTTTTCTTTTTTAGTAATTCTGTGTCCAATATTGATTAGATATGCATGGGAGATGCTTCTAGTGTGTTTCATTGTACCAGTCAAAGTTTCAGATGCTGCAGTTTCAGCAAAGGAATGACCAGATTAATGTTTTTGGAGCAGGTTAACATTTTTGGTGCAGTTTTTGGTGTAGGTCTCATTTCCCTACATATAAGCCCTATGTTGACCAAACTTGCATGGATGATACATCTAAGGATGTACACATCCGGGCTTGCTTCGGATGCTGAATCTGACCTAAATTTTCCGGTTGAGTGAACAGGTTTATGTTTTTGGTGCAGGTCTCATTTCCAAGTAACTATAAGCCCTATGTTGACCAAACTTGCATGGTTGATACATCTAAGGATGCACATTACCAGGCCTGCTTCGGATGCTGAATCTGACCTACATTTTATGGTTGAGTGAACAGGTTAAAATATTTTGGTGCAGGTCTCATTTCCAAGTAACTATGAGCACTATAATGACCAAACTTGCATGGATGATACATCTTAAGATGCATACTACCAGGCTTCCTTCAGATGCTGATTCTGACCTACTTTTTCCGGTTGAGTGAACAGGTTAAAGTTTAAGGTTTACATTTTTTTAAGATACTATGAGCCCTATAATGAGCAAACTTGCATGGACGATACATCTATGGATGCATACTACAAGGCTTACTTCGGATGCTGGGTCTGACCTATATTTTCCGGATGAGTGAACAGGATAAATTTTTTGATGCATGTGTTCATTTCCAAGTAACTATAAGCCCTATGTTGACCAAACTTGCACGGATGATACATCTAAGGATGCACATTACCAGGCTTGCTTCGCTTGCTGAATTTGACCTACATTTTCCGGTTGAGTGAACGTTAAAGTTTTTGATACAGGTTTTATTTCTAAGTTACTATGAACCCTATAATGACTTAACTTGCATGGATGATACATCTTAGGATGCATACTACCAGGCTTGCTTCGGATGTTGAATCTGACCTACATTTTGTGGATGAGTGAAAAGGTTAGTTTTTGATGCAGATTTCATTTCCAAGTAACTATGAGCCCTATAATGAGCAAACTTGCATGGAGGATACATCTTAGGATGCACACTAATGGACTTGCTTCGGATACTGACCTTTTTTTGTCCCCCGCTTGAAAAGTGGGGGATATTAATTTGGGTTTGTCCGTCCGTCCGTCTTTCTGTCTGTCTGTAACGCTTTCGTTTCCACACGATATCTCGAGAACCCTTCGAGCTTTTGCAATGAAATTTAGAATAGCAACTCCCTATGGACTAAAGAAGACCCCTATTGATTTTGAGGTCAAAAGGTCAAAGGTCAAGGTCATAAATAAGCAAATTCTGTCTGTTAAAACACTTTCGTTTCCACACGATATCTCTAGAACCATTTGAGCTATTGCAATGAAATTTTACATAACAACTCCCTGTGGCCTAAAGAAGACCCCTATTGATTTTGAGGTCAAAAGGTCAAAGTTCAAGGTCATAAATTTATACATTCTGTCTGTGTGTAACACTATCATTTCCGGGCGATATTTCAAGAAGATTTTGAGCTTATGCATTGTAATTTTATACCAAAACTCCCTAGGACGTCTCTCGCCCCTCTCAAAGTGCCCGCCCCGTTTGTTTTATTAGTATTTATAGTATTACTTTTCGCTATTTTTAGCGCAGGGGCATGAGGAGAGTTATTGCGTATAAAACAGGTTCTCGGCGGACTTTATGTTCTTATTACACCTATTAGAACTGTTTAATAAAGGCTAAATAAATCAAAC